ATTAGGACCAGGACCTGGCCCACCCTGACTCTACTTGTGAGAGCACCATGGGACACTGCTGGAAGAGGAGGGAAGGGGAGGGTCTTGTTGCGGATGAGAGAGTTTAGTCGCCTAGTGTGGTGTTCGCTAGGCATCTACCAGCACCAGGCCATCACAACCAGTTCCAAAATGCGAAGTAGCATGTCCAACACACATGCCAGCCTTTGCCAACACACCATTCAGTTTAAGTTCAGACCACAAAGGCCCTTCAGTCTCCTAAAATGGTGTTTGTGAGGAGAAGAATGATCTGTCATTATGGGAAGGCTTAGTTACTGCAGTAGAACCAGCTCAATGACGCAGCAACAAGGGAGACCAAATTAACTGCTAACAGGAGCGTCGCAAACTTGTAGCCGAGAAAAGTGGAAAGGACCTCCATTCTTAATTTTCAGAGAGTCAAAACTCTGGCAGTTTTGCCCAATTCTGTAACAGAAGAATTTGCTTTTGGTATAAAAAGTAAGCATGATAACTCTTTTCAACAGCACCCACAGGACCCTCAAACATCGGTTTTTTACAGTGTTAGTTAATTGTGGGCAACTTCCATTAGAATTACGAAATCAATAAGAAGCCGCGTCTTGCAAAATCGGGGATTTACAGTAGGGGCGAAGGCGCGCGCCCACACCCACTGATATGGAAACAAGCAGGTGACAAATGTAGATTGACATGCCACCAAGATTGTGAAACCTCACGATGTTGTGTGTTGCGCGATACCGGGGTTAGCTGTGTTGGGATCCAGTGGTTTTTCCATGCCCAAAAGAGTGGATTCTTCTGGCCACTGGCTCCAGTATAAGTCCACGCCAAATAAGCAACAATAGTCCAGTGATGCTCAAAACTCGTGATGTATTAAAATAACCAAGCGGAACAGTTGACAAGCCATGACCTACAAACCCTGCGTCAACAAGTGTGAGGTGAAGGACATGTAATGCACTCCTCAACCCTCCAAAGGCTTATTCGTAGAAACTTTTTCCCAAAACTTGGAAGTAGATAAGGGCTTGTGGAGGAAACCTAAGTATGAAAGATAGAAACATTCACAGCAAAGCATTCCAATGCAGAAAATAAGATTGAAATAGCGTTGCCTCGTAACTAGGATGATAACGATTTAAAAAAAAAAAGAAAGAGAAAAATAATGTGCGCGTCCATGCGTAAGTCCAATGGGGCCGTTCCACGCTTATGGAAAGACCGACGGCATTTAGAAAAAAAAAAGGACAGAGCTATCTGAGCATGACGGTGAACAAGTTGGATTGCCCTGTGTAAACGTTCCCATTTTATCCCTCATAGCAGCGACATAGTTTTTGGCTGGGGAAACGACAAAGTACTATCTGTGCTCCACAGTTCCAACGAGAGAAGGCGAAGTGTGGTGATGCCGATCACGCCGCGCTTACTCTCGCGCCTTGCTGTGCCGATGTGTGCCGAACTGCAACGCGTGAGAAGATCGACACATACTTGGCTTTATGTGATTCCAGGAGCATAGGTTAGGCATAACTAAGGCTGCGCCATTTTCCTTTAGCTCATCCAGTAAGACAGCCTGAGGGCCAACATGAAGCCCGCACTCACAACCTGCCTAGGCGAATCAAGCAATACACAAGGTTGTGGGTTGGTCAGACTCATCATTCGCGTTGAATAGCCTGTTTCCAGAGAACCATGATAACTCTCTAAGACCAGAATCTCACCTCAGCCGCTAAAGCGATGATGGGGAGGTAAAGATCTAAGTAGGGGCTAGGTGGAGAAATTCTAAATTTAGTGTATCATGACAGCCACCGTGAATCCTGAAATAGGACCCCTTTATGTCCACATTAGAGTTGCAGAGATATTGAGAAAGAGGAAGGAAGCAAATCATGCACCAGGTGTGTTGTGGGTCTTCTGGAATACATTGTGATGTTAAGGTGTCAAAAGACTGGTGTGTATTTAGGCAAAATTAAGACCGACATGGGGAACCACCCAAGCTAGAGCTGGAGCGCGCCCCCATCTGCGCGGCGGGGTGCTTTCCCAGGCGGAAGGGCCTGCCATCCCCGTCGAGCACTATCGCGCCCAACGCCAGATGCAACTCCTGTTTTGAGCATGAAAGAGTGCTTCTCCCTGCTGTGAAAGTATCACACACTTCCATACGACGTAGCTAACAACTACCAGAATGGATTGAAGCCTGTAAAATCATTTGGGGAGAACCTATAAAGACTCACACAAAGCAGACAACAGGAAGTCCACTCCAAATATCCTGTATCATGAACGGGCAGGTGCGTCAGGAAACCATGCATCCCAACAAACATAACTCGAGAATGGATAGACCCCCTCTGGATTGCCAGCCCGCACCACCAACCTGTGCTAGTAAACTCTAGGTGTCCATGAGATAATAGTTAGTCAGGGTCTCTCGTTCGCTCTGAGCAAACCACATTTTCTTACTCTCTCTGCGAACGCAACAGTTTTGACAGCGCGCTATAGATCCTAGACGAGATTTTAAAGTGTAGACAAACACACTAGATGGCCTAATAGTTGCAGTTATAATATTAGTATTTTGTGAATTACTTTATATATAGAGGTCCTGCTTATCTAGTAATCTTCCAAGAGGCTGCTCAATCACATAAGATGTAGCATATACTATTTATTGGTTTGATTTCTAATTGTCCATCCAGTAGGGTGTATCATTATGGCTATGAAAACTGGAGGGCAGGTATCGATTGCATGTGGGTTACTACGTATTATCTTTGTACTAGCTCTTTGTGGCCTCGTTAGAGGAGCTTGTGGTGAGTGGCATGTAATAGTGGATTTCATCCCAATTCGTGTATAATTGGTGTTATCTTAAAGGGGTAGGCAGTGGCGCTCCAACTCAATCAAACCGATATGGTTGTACATGTATAAATAGTGATTAAATAATAACATATGTACTGCCAGCCGGGTTGTAAGAGATGCATTTGTAATAGTATTGGCACTGGTAAGCACAGAGAATATAATACTGGAATGAGTGAAAAAATACAAAAATAAGTTATGACTGACCCTATACATATACACTACCTAACTCTGATTTTTATAAATTTTGGTAACTTACTGCTTTTATATCAATACACTGGCCTGTTCATACATATTTAGAACGCAATTATAGTATACTAGTGCTGCTAGTTATAAAATAACGCCATCCTGAGAAGTTCTCCGCTATTATTGGTGGCCCATTCCTTCGCCTCGAAAGTGACTAGCTGCACAGACCCATCTGAAAGCTAATGACACCTAGATGGCCAGTTTGATATTCTTCCTTGCGTAGAGATACACCAAGGTTACATCACATAGATGATAGATATATACCTAGAAGGTATAGTTATTTGAGAACGGCTCAGACCTGGTGAAGATGTAGTTTATTAACTTCGCTTGAGATACCACCATCTATTCAAATCTCTCACAATTTACAGACCACTCTAGCTGGAAAATGGTGTTTATAGGGGCTCGGGCTGACCACGATAGGCTTGTGCACGCTACGATTAGTATCTACTAGCTAGTGAATTGACCTAAAATGATATAGCTTCGTGTCCCAATCAACGTCATGCGTGGAGGCTCAATAAAATCTTTGGGTGATCCTTAGCGCTGATAATTTATAGTCCAACGACTGCCTTCTTTAATCCCTTTACGGGTTTTATTTTTTCCATCTTATTTCTTATTTTGTTTTTCTCAGTATGTGCTCTTTGTGGCATAGAATGTGGTGATAATACTATCTGTAATATTGTGCCTTGGCAAATTTGTCCCTCCAACTGTTTATATAGGCACAGTCCTGATGATTTTATTAGTAGCCCACATGTGGGAATTAAGTTTATAAGAATTTGCAGGATAAGTTTGCTGCAGGAGGTCTCCGCTCGCCCACACCGTATAATTATAGTCACCCTATGTGTACGTCACTGTACTTGATATATTATATATATATATATATACTATATTATATTAAATATATACTATATATATATACTATTATACTATAGTACATACGCTACACACACATATATA